TTTTCCGACGTGGTTTCCCCTTGTCAGTGTGCAGAAGAGAGGGCCTGACAAGGACAGTTGTCTAGTCCTTCGGATGAGACAAAAACCGAGGACCCGTGTATACATTGGAATGCACGTAAAAGATCCCTTGGCAGTTGGAATTCGATATAAGAGTAGGCGATAGTGCCGCTGCCCGGGCAAAATTTCCCTCATCGCACACTGTATGGCGTATGCCCGTCTTCATTAGCCCAGTATAGGAGCAGAACAGTAGGACGTTAAACCCATTTCATTTCATTTTTTTCTGATATCTTTTAAAGCATAATCCTATAATCTTTATTATCCCGGATGGTGTAGAAAACTAGGACGTTAAACCCCATTTCATTTGTTTTGCTCCGTTCTAACCTTTTGCCCTTTTCACCGTTTCTAGTGTTAGACCCCATACGACGCTCGTTACAAGTAGGCAAATTAAGTGGCCGAATAATGAGCGTTTTATTTGTTAAGTGTTTGTTGGCTGCGATTTCAAGATCCACCTCCGCTGTAATAATTTATACCTTCTGTTAGAAATATCACAACATGGCGAAAAAACAAAATTCATTACGAAAGAAACGTTGATGAATGACTTAAAAATATGTTTTCGTACACATATACTGTAAATATATTCACCAAGAAAGAGTATTAAAAAGCGGATTCAAAAAACCGAAATTCTTATAGGTTATTTTTCAACCTTCGTTTGTCCGCTGTATTAATATAATGACGATAGGTGTCAGGTCGGTGCATTTCCCTCGAAGCCACGTGGCGCATGGAATGTGATCTCGTTGAAATGTATCCATTTGCTAAAAAGAGAAAATGGCGTCTTTGATCTGTTAGAAGTTAATAGACCCGTGGTTTAAGCTATAATTAATACATCATGTTCTAATATTTTGAGATAGCCCCACGATAACAATACGCGGTGAAAGCGAAAAAAGCTAAAGAAAATCATTTAGGGACATTTAGTAACTAGATATATAGAACAATAAACTATAAGACTTACTTATTTAAAAACAATTACTAGTTTATTTTCGCGACGTATCGAGGAAAATTATCATAATACACTTTTTTAAAATTGAAACGGGATGTTACCGAAAGACGAACTCCATAATCCCGTCTAGAAAATATCCCAAAGTGAAGAATACGCCGCAAATATTATATTCCTGAAGCAATGGCCCGAGAAATCCCTCTCTGGCCATTGCTGGATTGGCTTCTGATACTTGAGCTTTTGGAGTGTGTCTATTCTTCCCGTTCAATCAAATCTATCCCAAGTACAGCAACATGACAGCCCTTCGTTTAATCTGGGCCTTCCCTAAAACTGTGGACATTGATTTAAGGTATTAAAGATAGGTTGCCAGGCAACGAAACATACGCCCACAGCAGCTAACTCGTCCGGGCAGTCAACAAGAGTTGTCACATATTTTTACTTTTTTCGGTAATGAAACATTTATAATACATTAAAATATGATTAAGAGTAACAACTCATTAAATAATTATCAGAAAACCAATAGAATTTGTTTGGTTTTTATAAAGTTTTGCCCCATGCTAACGTTTAGTATAGGAAACTTTTAACATCATGGATTTAGCTGTTCAAGTCATAAAAATTCATTGAAAATCAATATACTTGTTTGGCTCAAGACCTTACACTCTGTGTATGAATCTGAAGTCAATCGGATGATAACTTTAGCTTCTAGAGGGTCACAAGGTTTGTAAAAGTGATCAAGGGCCATAACTTTGGCAGTAATTATCGGAAATCGTTGTTAATCAATATGATTCTTCGTCTCATGACCTCAAACACTCTGTACCAATTTAAAGTCAATCGGATATTAACTTTAGCCTCTAGAGCATTTACAAGATTTTTTGACGTGTTCAAGGGCCATAACTCTGGCAGTAATTACCAAAAATCTCTGAAAATGAAATAAACTTCTTCGTCTCATGTCCTTAAACACTGTGTATGAATTTAAAGTCAATCGGATATTAACTAGAGCGTCCACAAGATTTTTTGTGGACTAGAGCGTCCACAAGATTTTTTGAAGCGATCAAGGGCCATAACTCTGGCAGTAATTATCGGAAATCGCTGAAAATCAATAGGCCTTAAACACTGTGTATAAATTTAAAGTCAATCGGATATTAACTTTAGCCTCTAGAGCGTCCACAAGCAATTGTGGACGCCGGACCGACGGACCGACGGACGGACGGAGGCGACGACAATATACGACTACATTTCAATGTGGGCGTATAAAAACAGTGAAAGTATTGCTCGTCTCTAAACAGTATTGTTTACATTGTATCTGTTTTGGTAGCCTCGTTTGTCACGAAATTAGTTTTTCTGCAATATTTTGCTATGCACTTGTTAACTGGGCGTGTGTCATGACGTAACATTATGTAAACATATTTGGTCCAATTTGGAGCTCTGTTTAAAGCGTAATGATATTGTTACGCAGTTAGCTATTGGTTATTGACTATTGACCATTGATAATTTGGAACAGAAATTTACTTCCATTACAGTAGTGTTAAGTGGGATTAACTCTAATCAAACGAAAAACTGAGAGGTGTGTGCGCAAATATAGACCTTCAGACTACTCAAAATAAAAATTAGTGTTACCAAAATGTATGTTGGTCTCAAATTATTAGAACTGACCAGAAGTAACCTCGGGGAAATGACCACAAGAAAATACTGGTCGAACAGCTTTAGTCCTATTTCTAAATATCAACCAGGTCAGAACATATCTCAGACATATTTTTGTATTCGAACCATTTATTTTTATAAGGACAGAGAGCATGTTTGATAGCGTCTATGAAGACATGGCATCAATATACACGCGGTTAAATATGTAACACATGATTTGTTTATAAGGCTACATGTGACAAGTATTACTTGCACGTGTAACCAGCAGTGAACTTACACATAGAATAATTAAAGCCATGGATCTTACCCCCAGCTACTCGAATACAAAAACAGTCTAGAGAACAAATGTGTCTTAAAGGGCTTGCCCCTGGCTACCCAAATATAAAAACAGTCGAGAGAACAACAGTGTCTTAAAGGGTCTTACCCTTGGTTACCCGAGTACAAAAACAGCTAAGAGAACAGCTTCGTCTTAAAGGGTCTTACCCCTGGTTACCCAAGTACAAAAACAGCTGAGAGAACAACTGCGTTTTAAAGGGTCTTGTTCCCACTGGATTCCTAAATATAGTTGTTCGGATGGGACCAAACAAATCCTACGCACACCCGTGTACTCGATGGCGTGCACGTAAAATAATCATTGGCTATTCGAATTCGATGAGGGGTCCAGGCAATATTTCACTCATTACATGTACATATCACAATATATATGGCGAAAACTCGTCTTCAATACATGGTGTATGCTCGTCTTCAATATATGGTGTATACTCGTCTTCAATATATGGTGTATACTCGTCTTCAATATATGGTGTATACTTGCCTTCAATATATGGTGTATGCTCGTCTTCAATATATGGTGTATGCTCGTCTTCAATATATGGTGTATACTCATCTTCAATATATGGTGTATGCTCGTCTTCAATATATGGTGTATGCTCGTCTTCATTAGCCCAATTGATACAGAAATGTAAGCCATTAAACACATTTCTATAGTGTAATTCACCAGCATCTATGAAATGAAATGTGGTTGAACACCCTACTGTTCTGCTCTGACTGGGCTAATGAAGACAGACTACACCATACGTTATGAGGGAAATTTTTGCCCGGACAGCGGCGCTACGGCCTACTCTTATATCCAATTTCAACTGCCAAGGGCTCATTTACGGACACGCTATTGTGTACTCAGGACCTCGACTTTTCGTCCCATACGAATGACTATACGTTGTCTCTTGCCAGGCCCTCTGTCTTGCACGGAACCACGCCGGAAAATCCTGATGAACTCCTCGCGCAAAACAAGGAACCGACACGGAACCTCCTGGTTAGCGAGCCAACGTCTTACTCACTGAGCCACCACGGCTCCGCTACTATCTATGATCTAGCCTATGCTAAACAACTTACATTTGGTTCATATTAAAGCTTTAAATACACAACCTAACCCCAATCATCAGTGGTCAATTGACCTTTACGGTTCTATGATTAAAGAGAGTTTCTCTCCGCGCACCTGTTAATGTATTTAACTTGACATTTACTTATAGACGTCGTGTTGGGTTTGATCAAAACCACCATAAAACAGATACAAATGACTTTAATCAAAGCATTAGACGTGACCTACACACGATAAATAAACTGCACTTTGAATTTGGAAGTTAAACATTTTTAGATGTATACTAATAGATTTATTTGTGTAAATAGATAGCTGGGAATTATTTGTTTTAAGGTTTCTTAAGATCATAAGGTCTGTTTTTGTATCAAGTGGAGTGGTCTCAATTCCATACTTGTACGTGACCCCGTGGGTTTTCTCTGGGGTACTTCGGTCCCGCCGCCCGATAAAGACACCTACGCGAAAGTGAATTACTAAAAAATAACTTTGTACCACCATATGTTAGTCCCGACATTATCTAGCGGGTGTTGAGTGGACGTAAAGCCCCATTTCTCACTCTCTCTCTCTCTTTCTGTCGTTCTTTCTCTCCATCAGAAAATTACAAATCTGGTTAAACTTTTCCGAATCTTTAATTAATAACGAACAATATTCCTGTGCTACATTAATAAATTAATAAATCGTTTCAATGCCATTTAGTAATTGAACTGTAAATACACAGGGTACAAATCTGTGGAATATAATTATTAAAACAAAAGGACTTTTGTCTTCAACACCCCACACCCATGTTTGATAAAGACTAAAATGAAAGGGGGTTTAACGTCCTACTGTTCTGCTCCGACTGGGCTATAATGAAGACAGGCATACGCCTTATAGTGTGCTTTGAGGGAAATTTTGCCCGGACAGTGGAGCTTACTCTTATATCGAATTCCAACTGCCAAGGAATATGTTATACTGAAATACAATCATATTAATTAAATTAGTTATTCTTACCCCATCGGACAACCATCGCTCTTCACTGGCACCATTCTGATTATCTTCCACAATATTCCTAGAGACGACTATAATAGGTATTGTTAATATACAAAACAATATATTACTGTACAAATACATCGTAATCTGTCTACTGCACATCTTCTCAAAAACAACAATTCTTTAAAACATCAATTCTCTTAAACACTAATTCTTTAAAACAGCAATTCTCTTAAACACTAATTCTTTAAAACATCAAATATCTTAAACACTAAATCCATAAACATCTATTCTTTTTAAACACCACTTGTCTGAAAAACTTATTCTTTCAAATACTAAGTATTTAAAACATCAATTCTCTTAATCACTAATTCCTTAAAACATCAATTCTCCTAAACAACAATTCTTTAAAACATCAATTCTCTTAAACAACAAATCCTTAAAACATCAATTCTCTTAAACACCAATTATCTGAAACACTTATTCTTTAAAACACCAATTCTCTAAAACTGTAATTCGTTTAAACACCAAACACTTATTCTTTAAAACATCAATTCTGTAAAGCACTAATTCTGTAAAACACTAATTCTGTAAAACAATAATTCTCTAAAACACTAATTCTCTAAAACACTGATTCTTGAAAACACTAATTGTAAACACTAATAATCTAATTAAAACACTAATAAAATTCCTACACCCGGACCCCTTTTATCCATACAGTTGAAAGACTCTCAAATGTTTGAACCCAGGAAACTTTCTATCGTTGAAATACCATCAAAGTTCTAAGTTTAAACACTATTTTGATAACCTATTTGACTAAAAAAGATCTCGCGCTCACAAGACAATCTGACTGAAACACTGTGCAAGAGAGGAATCCAAGAAACCCGTTTAATAATCCGAATAAAGCACTGTCATTATTCCAAGAATATTTAGTTGATCTTTCTGAATCTCCAACTTCTTAACCCGGGCAAATCCCCAATTCTTGAATCACAGCAAGTCATCCATTATCTTAACCCAAGAACCCATCAAAGTCTCATTCCAACAGCTTTTCACTCAATTTAGCTGAAACTCTACAGGAAAGTTATCAAAATGAATTCTTGAATCACAACATAAGACCACCCAAAAAGTCACCAAAATATCTTTCGGAAGATCGCCTGAATGCGACGTTGGTGATATTCGTTATAATTCTAAAAGAGACCCGAGTTAATCCTATATCCTCTTGTCGTTTGCTATAAATCTCGGCGTTTTCGTATTTTAACGTATCTTCCTCCCGCTGATTACATTACTGTCATATCGGCGCATTAAAGTCTATTTGCTAAGTTTATATTGGCTCGCGCTGCACTTATCGGTAATCTTATTAAACTCTGAAAAAACTTTTGTGTTTCCAATTTTAACTTTTCGCGAAACTGATCGTTACTAGCTTTAATTGACGTGGTTTATTTTTACAACCATCAAAAAGTATTTAAAAAAACCTCCCAACGTTTCTTTGGAGTCGACAAATCATGTTTTCTCGTTAGAAATGAGCGTAAGCAGGTAATCCATCTTTCAAAATGTTTAACTATCCTTAGCAGACACTCTTATTTTTCAATCTCGCGCTCACGTGGCGCGTGAAGCAGCGGTTAACCACAATATAAGTTCATGTAGTAATGACTGAGCGTACATATACATATATATATATAGAGAGAGTATGGTTGAGCACCTTACTGCCACTCTGTCATTGTGTGTGTGTGTGTGTGTGAGAGATAGAGAGAAAGAGAGAGAGATGGGTTTAACGTCCACTCAACACAAACTAGGTCAATTCGGGACTAACATATGGTTAAATTTTATTCTATTAATTCGCTTGCGCGTAGGGGTCTTTAGCAGTGGGGGGAAACCGGAAGATCCGGAGAAAACCCACGAAGTTGGACAGGCGATCCTACTCATTGTCACGTAGAAGCGGGGAGTCGAAAACACGCCACTTGAATGAATGACAGACCGTATGATAAAACGCGCACGCGTTAACCATTAGGCCACCCAGCCCTTTATCATTGTAGGCTCAACCCCTCATTTAACAAATGTTTGGCGTAATATTGTCCGATTGGTGCCATTGAAGATTTCATTCATTCATTTTATTAAAAAAAAATTAAATGTAATGGGGTTTAACGTCGTACTATTCTTGTTATTTCGGATAAACGGCATGCCGTGTGCCATGAGGGAAATTTTGCGCGGCCTACTCCTATTTCGATACGACTAGACGCTGTTACTTGCCAGACCCTCCGTCTTGTACCACTGGGAAACCACGCCAGAAAAATACCGAGGAACACTCACGGCCAAAACCGGATGCTAACCCAGGATCCCCAGATTAGTAAGCAAGAGCCATACTTACGGCGCCATCGTAGCTCCTTTGCATACCCATTCTCTGTCAGGTCAATGACGGTGTTAACCGTTACTTTGTCCCCAAAATCTCGGTCGGTCGGTCGGATTTTTTTAGTGGGGTTTGTAAGGTACGTTTAGATTGAAATGAAATGAAATAAAATTGGGTTTAACGTCCTACTGTTCTGCCCCGACCGGGATAATGAAGACAGGCATACACCAGGCAGTGTGCTATGAAATGAAATGTGGTTTAATGTCCTACTGTTCTGCTCCGACTGGGCTAATGAAAACGGATTATAGTTAGAACTAACGAGACTAATAACTCAATAACTTGCAGTCCATAGCCTTTGTCGTGTGTTTATTATTCATTTCTAGCTGAATTACTGAGTAACATACCGGATAATAATGTCGATATTTGTAATACAAGATGATATTTATTTAAAATACAGATTGTTATTGTTACGGTACATTAAGTTGGCTACAACACGGAAGATTACTTTGACATAATAACAAGTAACAGCTTCTATTTTAAGCGACAAGGCAGACCAAATAAAAAAAAAAAATAATACCTAATACCTCAGAGTTATTTTGGTAAAATCTAACAAACACAGTGGATAAAATCAGGATAATAAAGGAGTATGGAAAGAGGCTTGCCGAAAACAACTTGGGGGCCAGGTTTAAAAATTGTTCACGAGCCCTGGTAAGCAACCCGGATTAGGCTGTCTACCACCATGCCAGCTTTCTTCGAATTAGTCAGCCACGGAGGTCTGGGGTTCGATCCCGATGTTTTCAGGGTGGTTTCCCGTTGTCAGTGGTTCAGGGGCCTGTTTCACGAAATCTTAACTAAAGATAAAATCAAAATTTTAGCAGATACTTCAATTTTGATTGGCTAAGCACTAAAATCAATCTAATATTATCCAATCAAATTACTAAAATTTGGATTTTTATCTTAGTTAAAATTTCGTGAAACAGGCCCCTGGACGGAGGGTCTGGCAACGAAAAACATTAAGGCATTCAGATGCGATGAAAAATCCCGATCCCATGTACACGTTAGCGTGCACGTAAAATATACCTTGGTAGATGGAATTCACTTGCGGTCTGGGCGAAATTTTCTACATAGCACACTGTATGTCTGTCTTCATTAGCCCGATTAGATAATAACTTTAGGACGTTAAACCTCATTTCATGCTTCAAATTCATTGTTTTTATCTCACATGAGGGAGTTGGATGGCCGAATGGTTAGCACGTGCGTGCTGTATCATAAGACCTGTCATTGAGTCAACTGGCGTGGTTTCGAATCCCCGGTTGTACGTGACAAGGAGTAGGGTCGCCTGTCCATCCTCGTGGGGTTTCTCCGGGTCCTCCGGTTTCCCCCCACTGCTAAAGACCCCTACGCGCAAGCGAATTATTGAAATAAAATTAAACCATATGTTAGTCCCGAAATGACCTAGTTTGTGTCGAGTGGACGTTAAACCCCATTTCTCTCCCTCTCTTATCTCACATGATTAAACTATACTCTACTTACAAAAGACCAAAGATAAAACGTCATTTCAATCGTCTTGTCGAGTACGTTTTACACTATGTTAATGATGTTTGTTTTGGTGAGGTTGGTCAATGGTAAAACACTGACCAGGATGAATTGATAACACGTGGTTATACTGGACAAGACATACCGTAAATAACGTGGAAACACGCCCATTTCACGAATGTTCGGTTTGTTTTATCACCTATTAAACTCCTATACAAGATATAGGGCGTCGTCTGACTATCTCCTACGAAATTTATTCACCACTTGGCAGAACATCTTAAAGAGGGAATACTGCTTTCTAGTTCTTCACCGGTAGGTATGAAATTAAATAGGATTTACCAGCCTTGTGTTTTCTGTGCCAACTGTTTTTTGCCCGGGCACGGGTGTATCCGCTAACTCGTCGTCTAATTGCACCTGCTGTGGGTTCTTTCCCGAGAACGCCAAAGTATACACAGGACCCGACGTGTTCGTCCAACTTTAGACCCCCTCCCCCCTTGTCAGGTCACGAATATCCAGAGGAGGTTTTTCGATCGAACCCGAAATCTCCTGGTTAGTGAACCAGCGTCCTATTCACCGAGCCCCCAAAGCTCCCTTACCGGAAGCTAAAAGCCACCATGGCTCCCTCATCGGAATCTCCTGGTTAGTGTACAAGCGCCCTATTCACCGAGCCCCCAAAGCTCCCTTACCGGAAGCTAAATGCCACCATGGCTCCCTCACCGGAAGCTCCTGGTTAGTGTACAAGCGCCCTATTCACTGAGTCACTATGGCTCCCTTACCGGAAGCTCAAAGCCATCGTGACTCCCTCACCGGAAGCTAAACGATTTGATGAGATTTGACTAGTAGTTACATATGGAAGGATCAAAATAGACTGCGCAGAAAAATTTGTTTCAGTGCAGTAAGACAATAAACACCATTTCAAAATTTCTTTGAATTAGAAAATGGAGAAAAAGGTGTCAATCCGCCTCTGAGATATAGTTGTTTGAAGAATCTGCGCCAATCGTGTCCACGATATAGTGGTTTTTAAACTTTTAGAGGACGCTTGGGAACAATGTTTTGATATAAGAAGATTAGTTCTTGGACTTTTGATAATCAGCGGAATCGGGGGATATTTTGAATATGAGATCAAATGAAATAATGGAAGGGGTGGGGTGGGGCGAATGGTGTAACGCTTGCGCTTTAATAATAATAATAATATCGTCATTTATAAAGCGCGTTAATACTGAAGAAAACAGTTTCTGAAGCAGTGTTGGTTTTTATATTCACTGATTATTTACAGATCAGGGTTTTGAAATAAGAATGTTTTGAGTTGAGATTTAAAATGGCCCACAGACGGTGATTGTTTTATTGATTGTGGTAGTCTATTCCATAGATGATAAGGTATGTCATTGAGTTAAGTGGTGGCGTGGTTTCGATTGTCAGCTTGTACGTGACAAGGAGTAGGGTCGCCTGTCCAACCTCCTGCCCCCCCCCCCACACACACACTGTCCCATTGTTAAAGCTCTCAACGCGCAAGCGAATTGTTGAAATAAAATTGAAGCATATGTTAGTCCCGAAATGATATAATTTGTGTCGAGTCTATGTTATCATGCATCCCCTAACGCCCTCTCTTTAAACTCCTTCGCATGATTAAGGAGGTCTTCCATATATCACCTACCAATATCAATTCACCAGTTGTTGACACGCCTCACGAGAACACACGATAAGTAATTTTGATAATCTGTTGGTGATTTAAAGCGACGGTTTGCTTTCTGTGAGCAGATTGGATACATGACGAACAATGGCGGAAGGCCAGTACACGAATGCTGTTTATCCTCGAATATGGGGCCTTGATGAGGTCTTGGGAAAATGACGGCCATTGGCCTTTAATACTAATTAGAACAGATTTTGAAAACCACGAAAAAAATTAGTCATGTTTAGAATTTCTGGGGATAATACTGGCACATTATAAAAGGATTAGATTTAGGGTTCCCATAGTACAGATATAACAGGGATTTGGGTTGCCATGGTACAGATATAAAGGGCTAGTGACTAGAGTTGCCATGGTACAGATATAAAGGGATATGGGTTGCCATGATACAGATATAAAGGGATTTGGGTTGACATGATACATATATCAAGGGATTTGGGTTGCTATGATACAGATATAAAGGGCTAGTGACTAGGGTTGCCATGGTACAGCTATAAAGAGTTGGGCTTGCCATGGGTTAGGTTTTAAATCTGCGATATAACCCTATATGGAAGCAGACGTTAAGTACGACAAAAAGAATGAAATGAAATGGAGTTAAGCGTCATACTGTTTTGCTCCGACTGGACTACTGAAGCCGGGCATACGACATACAGTGTGCTATTAAGGACATTTTGCCCGGACAGCGGCGCTACGGCCTACTCTTATTTCAAATTCCAACAGACAAAGGATCTTTTGCGTCCCACCCGAACGACTATACGTTGTCCGTTGCAAGGCCCTCTGTCCTGCATCACGGACAAGGGGGAATCACGCCGGAGAATTCCGATGAACTTCCTCGGCCAACACCAGGATCGAACACGGGACCAGAAGAAATGAAATGAAATGAAATGAAATGGGGTTTAACGTCCTACTGTTCTGCTCCTATATAATGAAGACGGGCATACGCCATATAGTGTGCTAGGAGGGAAATTTTGCCCGGGCAGCGGCACTATAGCCTACTCTTATATCGAATTCCAACTGCCAGGGGATCTTTTACGTGCATTCCAAAAGATTTTCGTCTCATCCGAAGGACTAGACAGC